CACCACTAACATATGATAAGGTGGTAAGGTTATTTTAAGTATCAATACAAGTATAACTTCCTCTTTCTTAATGCACTGGATCAAAAATAAATTACTGTGGAACCCTGCAAGAATACTAACAATATCTTGTAAGGCAGCAGACACCACAGGAAATTAATAAGGCATGCTGGGTATGTAAATTTCAACAGTATGCAAATGTCACACCTGTGAGAGGGGATCTGAGGCACGAGCAGCACAGGCACAGTTGAGCGGCGTGTCGACCGACCAGCCCCCTTCGCGTTCTTCTTCTTCTGGCCCTTGGTAGCCTTCTTGTTTGGTGGTGGGGGTGGGGGGCTTTGAGTGTAGGACCTTTGACCCCGGTTACCCCGGCCCCCCACCAGTCTCCCTTCAACTGACTCGTCTCCAGACCCGTCCCTCCGAGACCCCACTGGAGAGTGATGCTCACAGAAAGCCGTCTTCTTCACAGAGAAGGTGGTACCGTTGACACCCGTCTCCCGGACTGGGTCTATCTTCATGAACAGGCCAGCCTTCTGGGCGCAGGTGACATGAAAGGCCCTGTAGCAGTTGGCTTTGTGGCACTGAATGGACGCTCCTCTGCCTTTCTGCTTACACAGGTAGCAGGTGAGTTTCCAGCGAGCAGGAGGGATGTTCTTGACCCCCTCGACGGGCTCCAAAAACACTGTGTTGGCAAAGCACACCTCTGGGATCCATATGGCGCAGACAACGTGGGCCCAACGTCCATCACTTGTCTGTTTGAAGGCACCTCCTCGGTTGGGACAGAGCACACAGTCTACAGGACGGGAGGGGGACTGCAGGCAGCAGCGGCACAGCCACTGACCCTCAGGTACGTAGGGCACGCCGTAACACTCCTGGTGGACGGCCAGATTGCAGATGTCACAGAACAGGATGACATTACTGTTCAAACATTCGTCATCCAGACAGACGCAGCAGAAAGCATCCTCGTCCACGGCACTCTGGGACAGAGCCTGGCTTCGGGACTCCAAGATGGATTCCCTCTCCAGGCGGTCGATCAGCAGCTCAAAGGTGTCCGCGGATACGGAGGCATAGCCGTCACACACCCTCTTTTGGTTAACCATATCCAGCCAGGCCAGGTCCTCCTCGTCCATGTCGTACTCAGCCACACTGTCCTGTTCCTCCATTGACTTTTCTATGAAACGATAGTAGGCTGTCGGGAGAGGAGGCGCCTCTGAGGGGCAAACTGAACTCAGCACACGAAAGATGGGCTCAGGCAGAGGGATTTGGTGGGACGGTTGCTGGAGCGAGTTAGTAGGTCCCGTGTGCTGCTGGGAGCCGGACCGTTGGTTCTGGTGAGACACATTTTTACCACTCTTCCTGCTTTTACTGTTTGAGGGTTTCCTCCACGATCTAGTTTTAGTCTGCGTTTGTTCACTGTTCTCCTTGTTGCTGTTGCACTCGGCAATGTCCTGGGCCATCATCTCGTCCTCGGTAATAACTGGCAGAGCATCCGTGATGTTAATGCGATGGAGCCTCCCCTCCAGGTCCACTTCCACTATTTTCTGCGCCTGAGCGTACGTCAAAGTCTCCCTGGATGGAGAGAGCTGCAGTCTGTAGGGCGAGGGGGGCCGCAACTGTCCAGACGATCCCCTGCCCCTTCCTCTCCCTCTGCCTCGGCCCCTACCCATGTTGAGTCCGCTAGCAACTGTCTCACATTCCCACCTCCTCACCTTCCGCATGGGAGTTCAAACCAGCTCCCTAACAAATACAAAGGGAAGAAAATGATTGAATGCAATGTGTGTCAACAATTTCTACTTTGCATAATTGCCTTTAAACAGGAATAGTTAAATAATTTGGTGACAAAGTGATATCATATTCTGCCCTCAGAGCTTGTTTTATATTTTGTGTTACCCTGATTAATCATGCTCCTTTATACTGCTGCCAATGTAAAGAGTGCAATCTCATTTGCATTTTTGTAAGATTTGTTGTGTTTCCTTTTCAATTCTAGACACAACAGTTACTGGGGGGGGAAAGGGGTCAACTCGGGTGCTGTTGTATTAAAAACACAGCATGGTACCTCAAGTACTCTTGCTGCACAAACACAACTACAGTTAGTTGTACTGCTCGCATGTATGCACCTAAGCTGCCTCTCCATTGGTCCAATCAGGAGTCTGTACCCACCCCCCATTCCCTCAGCCCAATCAAATGCCAGTATCCTCTATTTTTTTCTTCTCTCCCCTGTTGCTGTGCGTAGTTAGGTTGACGAGCGCTAAATACCAACCCGAGTATCTAACATCTGTCAGCCATTTTAAGCGCACAACAGCAGAGACAACATTTGGATTGCAAGTTGATTAGTAGCCCAATTACACATGCCAACAGCAACCAGAAAGCAGACGCACTGTATGCGCCGTGCCTGAATGCATAAATTACTTGCATGTATACGTTAGATCACGACACCGCAAATGTGCAACGTTTCGTCTACAGCTTTGTACTCCAGACCCCTGCAAAAAGACTGTCTGGTTGATGTGATAACGATACTCGGTCGGACAGGACACAGAAGTCGTGTAACGTTAACAAGACGGCAGGTTTCCTCAGCAATGCTGACAGTGCTGAACATATCGGAGTGGTTTACCTTGTGAAATCGTCCTCTGCAGTGCGAGTGCCAAACGGAAAAACTGCACCTAGCTAAATGTCAGCTAGTGACAGACTACAACCAAGGCGGACATGCTAGCCGTTAGCTTAGCTAGCCGGTAATTTCAGGAGCGATAGCGTCATCTTCAGCACTTCAGTTCTCCGCCGTGACTTCGGTCAAACACACAAACTCGACCCGGTTTCATAGTTGTGGTTTAAACCTGTCAAACGATGTCGGTTCCCAAATCAAGGGTTGCGAAATTCTGAAGATATCAAATTAATGTTCCTTGGATGAGGCTAAATATTCAGTCGAGATGGGTTGAAAAATACGCCCCTTTGGAAAAAAAACACCTCAGCCAATTGTAGGTCGCTGCTTCACCTCGCGCGCAACGCGCATTGTTCTCTGATTGGTCAAAAGGATAAACCGAATACATCGCACTCAATCTACAGATCACAACAGAAAGAAGCGATGAGAAAAACAACGAGACGCATATTGCGCGCCTTATAGCCCCGTTTTCATCTCCCATAGACCCATGTAGTACCTGTGATAGACCTACACCTGCTATCTCGGGGGGGGGGGGTTCTTAGCCTTTTCTTCGTTTGTACTACTTGTGCATGGAATTATGAGCTTACTTGACATATACAATTGATGCGTGATTCTCCTTATATTACGCTATAAAAATCCAAAGAAAGATTTGTTAAAAACATAATAAAACATTAGAGAATCAAAATGACATGTTGGTATATCATTTAATGTGTGTATTACTCTAAGTGTGAAGAGTGAAATTAATAAATATAATGTGGAATCATTATCTCAGTATTTCTAAAATCCTGCCTACAACCCAAATTTCATTCACACAAATTATTTGTGCTCCCATTAGCCGATTAGACAAATATGACTCCATTATAAGTAGCTACTTTTCTGACATTCTGGTTCCACTGGTACAGTATATTTGACAATAATATTATGGGGTTGATGCTCATCAAAGCCAACGATGATTTTAACTTAATTAAGTTCACCCACTGGCAGGAGTAGATGTGCTTAATTTTGCCACTGCTGATATACTGTAATTCCTCCATGCCAGCAGGCTTTTGTTGAATTTATTTATATGTTATAACTCACTTTATACACTGCATGATCAAACTGATGAGCTGATCACTGGCTGACTCAATTGTTTAGGTCACTGGGAGCTATAAAATGTCTGCTAAACACACTATTTCAGTCCGCTATTTTGCAATAGAAACAATGCCCGTTGGCTGGACACTGAAATTGATTTATATCTAGCTATATCAAGTTTTCTAGCTGTAAACTGAGCATAGGCTTCCATTTGAACTTGAATTTATAACATAATTTATAATCTAAACAAAATAATTTTTGGAAATACTAAATTGTTATGTATCTTAAACATTAGCTCTTTCTCTTACATTTTTCTTTTTACCTTGCTTATTGTTTCAGATGTTAATGTTAAAATACAAATGAAAAATTAAATTGTTCATTAAAACATACACTATCATGTGGACAAGAGCATCCAGAGTGCCAATCTGACAAAAAAGACTGTTTCAAATATTAATTTTGAAAGTGCACCGTAAAAAAAAGTCCTGGCTCCCTGCTATCATTCAACAGATTGGTAGTTTTTATCTGTGCCCATTCCACAATAAAAGATTCTTACTGTTTACGCCATTCTGCTGAACCTCCAACTTCTTTCCATGGCCATCTTTGAGCTACATCACCATTATCTTTTATGTTTGGTCCTTCACCATGAATATGTTCACACAATATATTTTTTTTCTCTCCATTTTTCCACAATTTCATAACCCTTCAGGGCCTTACAAAAGCTGGAGCCGGTCACTCAATTCTGTGCTCTGATTATTTTCCTTTTAAAGTGTTAATAAAGAGCAGAGAATGCTGTGCTGCTTTCAAACGCTGATGTTACAGCCTGTCTTTTAATACTGATTTCACACAAACTCCTCCAAAGAAATCTACACGTAACATTCATATTCGTCCTTTTAATAGAAGTTATTCAAGTACATTCAAGAATGTCTTTTTTTCTAAATAAACTTTATGTGTAGCTCTCTGTACATGTAATATACAAGGACAGCTGCTTCCAGCAAATATTCAACTTTGTTCACATGTAATGTAAATATTATAAAATCTGTGATACTCTGCTTCACTACCATATAAGTTTGATGGTACTGTTCTGTAACAAGATAATGATATTCATTCATAGTATTAAGATATATGCTTCACTGTTAGTATGAATAACCACATTTTGTTCCACAGAGAAAGCTATATGTTTGTATCTCATACTGCTTCTTCCCACCCCTTCAAAATTCTTCCACTTTCTCCGCCCACAAAAACTTCGCTTGCAGTCTCAACACATTTGAATCTGAAAAACTTCGGATCACTCTGCATCACAGTCGAGCTCACTGGGGTCTGTCTGAAGTCTGATGTGCCAGCAGCAGCCACATCTTGGACTCTTGTCAGGTGATATGGACTTCCATCATATGCACTCCACTCAATGATTCGTTAATTTGATCCACAGCTTTGCATTTGTACCAAGAAAGGTCTTAATATACTGTATATAATTATTTAAGTTTATGCATGTGATTCATCTGATGCACAACCAACCACTAATTGTCTTTTGTACTTGTAGGATGCAAACCAGGAGAATCAGGATGCTGTCTAGCTTCTTTGTATTGTCTGTTGTGTTTTTCCTGGACATGGGAGTGTGCACTGCAGGTAAGGAAGTATCTTCTTTTTTTAAATTACAGATTTGTACCTATGCAAATATAGTATTGACACACCTAATCAATGTAACAGATTTAACCAGGCTTGTTAGACCACACTGATCAATTTCAAACCATATTGAAAGTGATTGCGCATGTGCTGATTTAGAAAGTGGTGTGATCGACAATGTTAAAAAAAATTTAGTTTTGTCACTTTTTACTTATATTTCAAAGTTTGGCCCGGTCTCTGCATTTGTAATTCAGTGTGGTGACAGCTTGCTTTATTTCTTTGCCAAAACTTCTCATGTTTTTCGCTGCTGGATTGGTAGAAATTTGTCAGGCTTGACGAGACATAAATACATAAACAGTCAGCTCGGATCAATATCAAAGTGCAGCGCTACATCCTGTCCAACTGTAGAAAAACAGAAAGGGAAGCAGGCCAGTTGACCCTCTCACCAAAAACCGGTAATAAATCAAGTCTATGGAGCAAACAAAGGCCTTGTGTCTCAGAGTGGCCAAAAAGTCTTGAAGAGCTTGTATCCGTGTCATCTTTTGAATAGGAGGATCTGATGGTTGTCAGGATCACCCTGTGGTGATGGATCCCCAAGGCCTTGGCTCTGAATCAAGGCTTTTGATACTCTTTGAATTCCCTCCCATCTCACAGTGCCACGGCATTGAGATTCTTTGAATTAAAACACTGCTCTAAATAGATTGTGTTGTGCAAACCGTTTCAAGTAGGAGAGGAGAGTGGCCAGATCTCTAGGATACCGGAAACCAGTTATGTCTAGAAGGTCAATCATTCGGCCCAAAGTTCACCTCAGACATCTCTGCATGTCAGAGTAAAGTCTGAAGTTGGCGAATGCACAAAGGGCTCTTTGATTCTGCTAAATTTAGCTGTGAAAAACTTGTCTGTCTGTGGACAATTCCAGGACTGGGACAGACAGATCTCCAGATTCATTTGGAACGGAAGGAAACCAAGGGTTAAATATAGCACGTTAACCATCAGTAAGGAGGGAGATGGTATGTCTCTCACCAACCTTAGAGAGTATTTCCATTCCGCCCAATTAAAAATAATAGTTCTTTGGTGTGATAATGGTTACAAGGCTAAGTGGAAGGAGATGGAAAATGAATGCAAAGGTATCCCAGTACAAGCAATGATCGCAGACCACAAATTAATGATAACTTATCGTGCCCATCTGAACCCCATTGTCTCATTCACCCTGCACACCTGGTTTGACGTTGTAAAGCAACTAAATTTGTGGACCCAGTTAATTAAGAAAACTTAGATGGCTTGCATATGACACAGAATTTAAACCAAACAGTATGGATTCTAGATTCAGGTATTTGACCAAACAAGGTATTACTGCTTTCTGTATAATAACGGAGAAAAACACATTACAAAGTTTCCAGATATTGAAGGAAAAATACAATTTAGAAAAGTATGATTTCTTCAGATATCTACAGTTACGGCAGTACTTTTCAAAAGAAATTAAGAGACATGAGGTAACTATGGAACCTAATGAAATAATAAAATTAATAGTACGGGCATACATTGGCAGCTCCAAATCAGTAATTTCAAAACTTTACCAGGGAATTACAAAGGGCAGAGGAACTACCACAACATATATCAAGGAGAGATGGGAGAAAGAACTAGAAGATCAAATACCCGGTCAGCAATGGGAGAATATGTGTGAAACCGCGTTCACTACTTCCTGTTCTATGTATTGGCGTGAATTTAGCTGGAAGAACCTTGTTCGTTTCTTTATTACCCCTAAAATGAAGACGTACTTAGCCACAATAAACCATATATGCTGGAGAAATTGTGAGGAGGGTTGTGCAAACCACCACCATATCTTCTGGTGCTACCCCAAGATACAAACATTCTGGCAAAACGCTTGAAGAATTATGCAGCATATTCTTGGCCAGCAGATCTCATTCACATGCAAGTCACTATATTTGGGTGATCTACCAGAAGGAATAACGGGACATGACAGATACCTCCTGAAAATATTAACGGTAGCAGCAAAAAAAGCAATTACTCGAAATTGGCTACAAACCGACCCACCTTCAGTCGAAAATTGGATTGAAATCATTAAAGAAATTCACGATATGGAAAGACTGACCTTCCTTCTGAGATTAGGAAAAGACACATACATAGCAAGATGGACAAAATGGACCAAATATTTGTCAGAACAAGAACTTGGCTGGTGACTTGCCCTCCCTAACCTTACACAGGGTTTTTTGACTCTGTTCATTGTTGATGCTCATTATCTTTTAAGAAGACAGGTACTCTCTTCAAACAGGATGCTACTTCATCTGTGCAAATCTAGATCCTAACATAAATAATGCTGTGTATAGAACCCTTCCAATATATATTTTTGATATCTGAGCCTGAAATTATGGTTGACACGAGTGATGGACAATGTTGTTGGCATGTTGCATGGTTGTTTTGATGTATTTAGTTTTTGTTTTTGTTTAATTTATCAATTTGTTTCAATGTATTTCTTCCTGGTCCTTCTTTGCCAGGTGTATGAATTGCTAGTATTATTCCTTTACTTGTTTGGGATTTGTTTTTCTTTGCTACAAAAAAAAACCTTAATAAAATATTTAAGTATAAAAAAGAAAAACTTGTCTGTCAAACTAAATCAGTAGTCAGTTGTCATAATGTATCATTGCTATGTGTTGCTCCCTCACACCTTTCTCACTTTTCATATAGTCAAAAATAATGATGCTCCAAAACAGGCAACTATTTTAATGTTTCACCACATAATTAAGAATGAGGCAACACTTATCTCATCTACATATTACATTATATTTTCAAACATACTGTAACAGAACAACCTAGCAATAAAAATGAAAATCATATAAGGAAGACTAAGAGTCTGCAGCTACGCTATCGGCTTTGTGAGGCTTTTTGTAGGCACTGAGGTCCTTTGAGCTAAATGCTATTGTCAGAAAAGTCAAGGGGTCACTTAAATCAGTATGGATTCATCCTCTGGGAACCGTGAATGTCTGTACTAAAGTATGTGCCAATCCATCTTGTAGATGTTGAGATATTTCATTGGATAAGTGAAAACTAAGACCTGCTGGTGCTAGATGAAATATCAGGGGATCAGCAAAGTCATTATGGTTAATCCTCTTGGAACCATAAATGACAACGTTTCATCCTCATCCATCCAATACCTGTTGAGATATTTCAGTCTGGATGAAAGTGGTGAACCAACAGCCATCACTAAAGCAGGCTTGGATGAAAACAGTTGCTATGTTGCTTTTTGCTCTTTGAAGTTCAACCTAAGGGGGATTTTTTTCATCTTTATTTTGTTTAATATAAAGAATTGTTGGAGGCCTGAAGAAGACAAAATATCCAGTATTTTGATGACGATTTTTTTTCTTTGTTAACCCTTCAATCATCTGGTGACCCCTCCGATTTATTTTAAGACCTTGAGGAGGTCCCGACCCCTAGGTTGAGAACCACTGATATATTCCCCACTATATATCTGTTCGACATGATGAACGGTGTTTTTGTCTAAAAGTTATTGTCCTAACATGTCTTATTTTTCTTCCTCAACATCAGTGCAATCAGAGATGAGAATCACAACAATAAAGGTATAGTTCACTTGTTTATTTTGAACAACTAAAGGTAAATACACATTTTAAAGATAAAACACATTTTACCGATTATCTTCTGACATATTTTGTTTTAGCAAGAGCCATATGCAATGTCCAAAGGCTCACAACTGGAAGGGTTTTGCATGGACCTGCTGTCTGAAGTAGCAAAAAAACTGGGCTTCAAGTTCAAAGTGCAGCTGGTGAAAGATGCCTCGTACGGAAGACAAGATGAGAACGGGATCTGGAATGGGATGATTGGAGAGGTGGTGAGAGGGGTGAGTACATGGAAACTGATCCTTGGAGGGGTGAAAGGGCAGTCAACCACTCTGCAGGAGCTTGAATTACCCAGCTGCCGTCTTTAACTCACAACGGATATATATTCAAAATCAATGAATGTGAGGTGTTAACAATATCAGCAGGGTTATTGGTGCAATTAGAATATCTTAAAGTCCTTGAGGAATTTCTATAAATGTAAAGTGTTTATGCGTTCCGACAGGAAGCCGACCTTGCGATTGCTCCGCTGACTCTTACTGCAGCTCGGGAGAAAGCGGTCGGGATGACCAAACCGTTCATGCAGACAGGAATCAGCATCGTGCTGAGGAAGGACATCTCAGAGGGAACCGGCTTGTTTGATTTCCTGTCCCCCTTTGCAGCCGAGACCTGGGTCGGCATACTCATTGCCTACCTGGGGACCGCTGCTTGCATCTATATAGTTGCCAGGTTGGTGATGGAGGTAGTTTAATGTCTTGGGGAAAATGATAATAATGAGTTTTTTGTTGATTTTGCTGTGGATTTGAATATCAAGGTATGTACTTCTTGTCTGTGGATATTTTCACATTTCTGCTGGCAGTGGAATCCACTTGAGTTCACATTAATTTTTATGTAAATGCAGACTCAGCCCATGTGAGTGGAGTCAGCCTCAGAGTGAGCAGAACAGATTCAGCCTCCTCCACAGCCTGTGGTACACAGCTGGAGCTCTGACACTCCAAGGTAAATGGAAAAACCAGACACTGGCGATAATGGTTGTATTGATTTGTTTATTTTCTGGAAATTGTCTCCCTCTTTGCTTGAGACTTCTTTTTACTGTACTCTTTTTGTACTGTCAGGTGCTGGGCCACACCCCAAAGCTCTTTCAGGACGTGTCATCTGCTGCAGCTGGTGGTTATTTACCATCGTCCTCCTGGCTTGTTATTTCTCCAACCTCAGCTCCTCTAAGACCTCTGAGTCCACTCACCTGACCGTGAAAGGTTTTGAGGACTTGGCCAATCAGGATACAATTGAGTATGGCTGTTTGGCTGGCTCTTCCACCCTTGCCTTCTTTAAGGTATAGACATCAGATCACTTATGGATCCCCTTGTGTCACTGCTTATTCTCTAATACTGTTTATCCTTCATGCAGAATTCAAACAATCCAGTGTACCGCAGAATCTATGAGCACATGGAGAGAACCAAGAGTCTTGTGTCATCGATGGACGAAGGGGTCCGGCGTGCAAAAGAGGGAAACTTTGCCTTTATTGGAGAGTCTGTTTCTTTGGACTTGGCAGTAGCACGCCACTGTGAGCTGGTCAGAGCACATGAAGTCGTTGGAATGAGGGGTTACAGCATTGCTGCCACCCTTGGTGAGCTTACTCATTTTGAAAAATTAAAATTATATATAAAAAATAAATATAATGAAAATTGTATAATAAACAATATACCTATCAATTTCCTCAAGGCTCACCCATCATAAAGAACCTCAGCGTGGCAATCCTACAGCTGAGCGAGGCAGGGGAGCTGGCCTACCTGCGAAGCAAGTGGTGGGCCAGCAGCTGCATAGCAGACAAGGCCAAGTCTTCAGCTGTGCAGCCACACAGCCTCAAGGGGATGTTTCTGCTTCTTTCCCTGGGCCTGGGGCTGGGAGCACTGCTGGCTGTCCTGGAGCTCACCTCCAAGAGCCGCAGAAGTGCAGCTGAGCAGAGGGTGCGTGCATGTCAGGCAAAAAAAACCAACAACCACCCATCTCCAAAGTGTTAACCTTTCAGAAACTAATTCAAACAGCCTTGTTTTGTGCTCCACAGTGTGCAGATGTGTTCATTCAATCGGGTTAAAAACTGTTTCATAAGCCTAAAAGGCTGCAACGTTTGCTCAATAACTTCATGGCAACACAGTTCGTTACAGTTAAAAGCAACCCTGTCATTTACCAATTGGTTTTCACATCAACTGAGGAACAAAATGCAGAGGACACAAGCAGACTTAGTCAGTCACTCTCTCTCATCCACACGTTTACATTAAATTCATCAACATATTAGTGGATTGATTTGTTTCACTACTGTTTATATTTATTTGTCCTTCCCACAGAAATCCTGCTGCAGCGTGCTGACTGAAGAACTGAGTCTGCGCTTGAGGACCAGCAATGCAAAGAAACCCCAAGCAAATGTTGACAAAGATAAAGAAAAAGAAAAAGCATAAACATTTTAATTTACATTTATAACGTTTTAAGTCTGAACATTTTTAACTTTTAGTTTTTTTTGACATAGACATCAACTTAATTGTAGGTTTTGAACCTTCTTACTTGTAGAGATAAAGAAAAAATACTGCATTTAAAAATTAAAAACTCACATTTATTATATTGATTTTCAAGTAAGAATGCTACAATTTGAATGAAAAAGCAAACATTATAGTTTGAATATTATAAAAACTAAAAATATTAAAATGATCCAACTAACAAATAATGCTCATGTACTTAGTTTTTTAAGTTAGCTGTTACTTTTTATGACTCTGCATCATGCTGTTTTGTACAGTTGGCAATGGCATTACATGATATCAACAATAAAAACGATTTCATGCATAAAAGCTGTGTTGACTGTAAACATTACAGCATTTCTAAAACATTAAACAAAAAAACCTGTCTAATTGTGTAATTCTGCGTGGTGTCTTCCTACTGATCTAGTCAAAAAATAAGAACTTCTTCCTCCCACACCTCCTTTTTGTGGTTATGTTGTCACTCTTTTTCTTTGTCTTCTGAAGGGCCTTGTTGTCTTTGGAGATATCAGTCAAATCTAAACGGTCTAATCTAAAAGAAGAAAAAAAACAGCACAAACTCTGATTTCATACAGCCACTTAACTTTAGTTTGCAGTAACTTTTGCATACATGAATGACACATCACCTATGACTCACCATTTAGAAAAAGTGGTGATTTACAGTTGATCTCTCTCATCCTCTGGTCAAAAAGGGCCTTCATCTCCCTCTGCAGGGTCCCCTCACGTTGCTCTGCCCCAGCTGGCACACAGGAGGCCACAAACTCCAGGCTGTCGGTGCTGCCGTCACTGCTGCTGGATGTGTTGTCAGACAGGCAGAGGCCGTTGGGGATGGGCCTCATCTGGCTGCTGTAGCTGTTGTAGTTTTGTGCTCCCTGCGTCTGCCAGTGGATTGCAGGCTGGCGGTTCATCATCGGTGTCTGGGGAGAAGTAGTCGGCTTCCGAGGGCAACTGCGTGAGCGTGCCTTTGCTCGTATTTGGGTGGACGGTCGGGATCTGGTCGAAGCCTCTAAGGTCCGTCTCACCCTGGCAGGGGACAGTGGAGGGATAAGTGAAGAGAATTTGGCTTCAGGCCAGAGCATATGCTGTGTCGCGGGCCGAGGCCGAGGGAGTGAATCAGTCTGACTTTGAGTTTCTGTTGGTTGTTCAGGTCCAGTGGAAGTGACCTTGTCTGGCTCTGGCAATTCCTCAGATTGTTCAGGCTGCTCTGGTTCAAGCATCTGAACGGTCTCCTGCTCAGCACAGTTTGATTCATCAGGTTCATTCTCCAACTCTTCTTGAATACGATTCTGGCTGTCAGAACCATCAGAACAAGAAGCCCGGGGTGAGGTCTCGAGGTCAAAGCTGTCCGCCTTCGCACAGGGAGCAGCCCCGATGTGATGGGAGTCAGTGGAGGACATCCGGCTGAAGACACCTCTCCTTGTCTCTGGTGGTTCATGAATTTTAACTCTGTGCGCTCGCTTCACTGGCTCACTCATGGCCCCTTTGTGAATGGCAGCCTTGGCTGCTGGCCCTTGTAACAGAGGAAATATTTCTCCATTCCTGCTGTCCTGAGAAATAGTATCCAGATCCTTGCAGAGGAACAGAGCGCGTGCGTCTTCTGAGGACTGGACAGATAAGTCCAGAGAAGGCTGTTTTTGAGGACCCTTCATATGCTTCTGGGCTGCTTTTTGGATGTGTTTTCTGGCTGCTTGCACCGCATTTGTGGGTTTGATCTGTTTCACAAAGGACACCGAAGGTTTTAGGATGGAGTTGTAGGGAAAGATGAAATTAGATTTGTGAGTTATTTTTAAAAAGAAACGTACCTTTCCAGTCATATCATTGATAGCGACATGTACGAAGATGGATGACGCCGCCATCCCTTCCAGGTACACGTGCCGATAACCTACAAATTTTGCATTTAAAAATCATTCATATTAAAGGAACGGTTTAACTTTTGGAAAATATGGCTTTTTGATTTCTTGCAGGGAGTTTGCTAATCAACATCTTATGTCCCGTTTGTTTGATCTGTACAAAAAACAAAATGTAAAGACAACACGTGGCTTAACAACGAGCTATGTATTGGACTTTTTCTTGACTCACTACAAGACGTTGCTTGTTAGCAGTGAGTTTTAGAGGTGCTGCTAGACAGATTTTGTTACTTTTTGGAAGAGCCGGGATAGCTGTCTCTCCCTGTTCCCAGTGTTTATGCTAAGCTAAGCTAACTGGCTGTCGCCTTACTGATCTGACACACATAAGAGTTCTGGTATCAATCTTCCCATTTAACCATCTGCAATAAGCGTATTTCCCAAATGACTTACTCTGTGCAACTCTGGAGTGTGCATGCAGATATCTGATCATGTAATCTACCTGGCATCATACTGCTGAAAGCAACAGTCCTCTGTCCGATGAAATCTCGTCCAATAGGAGCATGATCCCACACTTGGAAACGCACCAGGGCGATCTTTGGCATTTGAATGTTGAAGACGAGGGTCTCCTCCCACATTGGGTTGAAACCTGAATGAACATTAAAAGGATGTTACACAAATAGAAAAACTGAAACATCGACTGTCTGTTATGAGATCATGAGATGAGAAGTACCATTATCATCCACCACCCTGGTCTGCTGCTTGGAATAATCTACATTTAGGCCAATTATCTCAACCTCAACAAAGGGATCGATAATCTGTAAGAAGAAAAACACGAGTATTTCAGTAATGAGAGAGATTTTTTTGTCAGGTGTCTCAATAACAGATCATGTCTGCAGCGTGTTCACCTCTCCTCTGTCCCCAAACATAGAGTCTTTGGGTTTGGGTAGCTGCTGTCCGCTGATGATCTTCAGCACAAGCTGAGTCTTTTTGTGTCCTTGTAAAGGATCCTCCAACATGGGGTTAAAGGCAGCTGAGAAAAAAGAAAAAGAAATGTCTAATCCTGCACAGACAGGTGCTATAAACCTGCACAATCTGCACATGTACATACCTTTACACATGCACTTAGGCCTCAGAATATATCCACAGTTTCCATTTCTAGAGAACTTAGCTTGGTTCAGTTCAAGCATACGGCCCTCTGTTTGATAATTCATTGCAACTAAAATGAAACATATATACGTAAATCAAATGCTGACATTGTAATGTTAAAGTCGGCAGTGTTGCAGTCTCTGCGACGGTCTTACCCATATGGCATCCTGTGTTCCAGTATGGTTGTGGGTTGAAGTTACTCGAGTCCACTCTGTAGTTGGAGGGGTAGACTCTTATAAGTTGGCGTTGGTTGAAACGGACCAACTCCCCCGGCTTCAGCTGTAAGATCTGGTTCATAACAGTCTCGTTGAGGGATGATACCTGCCAACTGTTCGCAAATGCTACCAGACAGAAAATAAAACACTGCATCACACATCTATAACTAAAATATATGATGAACTTGAAAATTGTGTGTGTGATAAAAATAAATTCCGGTTTGATGTTCACTTTGAAGATCCTTTACCTTGTGTTTCTATGTCATGCACACGGACAGATTTTGTGTACTTGACCAGGTCAGACAGAGCTCGGGACAACCTCATTGTTTTCCTCTTCCTGAAGGGAGAGTTAATAGACAAAGTTCAAGTGTAACTGCTGATACTAAGAGTATTAAATGGCTTAATTCAATGACTAGTCTTACTTGGGATGGTAAACAATTTGTGTCCTCTCCCTGCTGTGGTCTGACTCGCCATCAGACAGCGTCTTACTTCTCACTCGGACTCTCTTTTTCCTCTGAAAACAAAAGCATTATTGGCAAATCTTCTGTAACTTTATACAAATAGGTTTAAAAAATAAGCAAAAGAGCTGACCTTTCGTTTGAAGCTCCTCATAATTGAACTTCCAAATCGCCTCTTCTTTTTGGTTTGATTGGTAGAGGTGATGATACTCCCGTCCTAAAACAGTCAAACATAATGCATAATTATCTATCTATCTATCTGTCTATCTATCTATCTATCTATCTATCTAT